TGTATTCTATTGTCGGTGTTTAATTGTGATTCGTAATATTCCCAACACTATGTACACTAATGAATCAATCAATCTGTCATTAGTGGAGCTGTCTGATGGTAACGAGATAGAAATGCCATTTACGTCAATATTCATGGATTATGTCTTCAAGATTAAAATCTCCCAACATTAAAGTAGATGTGTCAATAGGTAACAAAATTTGAATACCATATTGTACTTATTGTTATATGTATAATGGGGTTTATTAAATATCATAACTACAATTTAAACATAGAGTCTGAGTGTAGGTCGCATTTCTGATTGCGAATTAGGCCAACCTAGGTTCTGCCGAAATTCGTATATTACGTGAAGAAGTCGAGTAAATAAATTGTTTGCAGTATTCTTACGTTATATAATATTTACGAATAAATATCTTCTTTCATTAAACGTTAAGGGCGCCTACCATAACCTTTCCAAAAACAATCTTATTTCATTGTAATCATGAAGTAAGCGTATTAAAATATTACTCGTATTCGTATCATGACAAACCTGTCAACCAAGTAATTTATTATTGCTAAAGTGATTGAAAGAAGGAATGATTTCCCAATATTGTCTATTCCTTACCAAAAATAGGAAAGAAATAACGCTATATGATCTATATGTATAATGCCATCACTTTCTTTTTTGATGTTTCGAATCGTCTTATCGTAGTATATATAATGTTTAAATACTTAATCTTATTTACATTCAGAAAATATTAACTGTTAAACAAAAGAAAAGTATGTAATAATAAAATCTATTAAAATTTTTTGTTGTTTTGTTGTTTTCGATTCTTTTTCCGAATTTCCATGAAGAAAAATATATTTATTTTTCTTAAACAAGCTGAATCTTGATAGTTACGTTGTGAATTCGGAATTATAGTCCTGTGAAAAGGAGCCTATAGATGTCACTGTTATAATTTTACGAAACATACACCGCGTATTTTTATTTAACGAGAAATTATTTCCTATGTACTATTAAATAAAAAAAATAAACAAATATTGAAGAGATTTATGTAAGTAAATAAGTTCAACATAACTTTTAATCATTACAAATCAATATTGTGTTTTATTGGCAGTATATATTTTAGTAGCAGTAGAGCACCTTGTGAAAGAGTTCGTCCAGGGTATACTGTCCTAACAGCCACCATACCTATTTCTGCCGCCAAACAGTAAGTAAGTAACAGTAAGTTTATTGCGTAATATTATGACAGCGACATCTATATGCTCCTTGGCGACACTAACAGTCGATACTAGATTACAATTACGAATTCACTACGTGACTATCAAGACTCCGCTTGTTTTATTTATTTTTCTTCGTGAAAATGCGGAAAAATTTTTGAAAACAAAGTAATTTTAATAGATTTCGTTATTACACACTTTTCTTTTTTTAACAGTTAAAATTCTCTGAATGTATATAACTTTAAGTACTTAAACATTATACTACGATAAGACGATTCGGAATATAAACAAAGAAAGAGATGGCATGGCATGGCATATAGTTCATAAAGCGTTATTTCTTTCCTATTTTTAGTAAGGAATAAACAATATTTATTAATATTTAACTGCCTCCGTGGCCGAACGGTTACCATACCGTACTGCCACGCAGAGGTCCCCGGGTTCGATTCCCGGGCCGGGAGAAATATTTGTATGGCCTACATTTATTTCTCTCGTGAGTTTGGGTATAATTTGTGGTTGTCTATGTGTGTGTCCATGGCACCCGCGACTCAGGGTTTCCCTAGTACGGGGCTATGTTGAGTGTGTGCGTTATTATTATTATTATTATTATTATGAATATTGAGAAATCATTTGTTCTTTTAATCACTTTAGTATTAATACATTACTTTGAAAGGGTTGTAACCCTAACCAACCATGCTCAGACTCGAGAAGAACAAAAAATTAGAAAATTTGATGTAGTTGACGCTATCGCGGTCAAGCAGAGAGTGACAGTGGTACGAAGCAAAAATGAGAAAGTGAAGGAAGATGGAACAATTCAAATTTAAAATTTAAATATAAATAAAAGAAAATATTATACGATACAAAAGTTCTATCCTCCGCGACCCTGGCGGGGCTGCATCGCTTAGGGTGCAGATGCAATGACGATGGAGCCGCGGGGGAAGAAACGTGTCGGTGTGTCGTTGCCGCTCGTCCTGTCCTCCGCGGCCAAATTTGGGCGATAGGCCCATGCGGTGGGCGCAGCGCCGAGGTATCTGTAAGCAGATTCCCTCGGGTAAGAAAAAATAGTCAAAGTAAGGTAAAATTTAAAAAAACATAGGTAAAATTTTTACACTTGAAAACGTCATTTTTTAACCTACTGCTCCTTCGCTACGCTGACCTCCCTGAGAAAAACAAGCAAGAAACTCTAGAGATTGCTGTTTTCAAATAAACTTAAATGCTATAGAATACATTTTGAATCATATTTGTGTGGAATCTAGACTCACGTTGTCTTTCCATACATCTTTAACACGTAGTCTCCCAATTTTGTAATATGACTTTCAATTAAAATACGTTTAATGTAAACTTAATATATGCTTATTGTAAAAACGTATACAGTTCCGCATAAAAGAATCGTTTACCTTAGTTAAAAGAAAACGTGGTGCCATGAGTTTGGACTTAGTTCTAAGCTTAATATTATGGAGCTCTTGTTTTTTAACGAAGTTATGTATATTTTTACGGGCATACAAAATATTTTAGTAAATGTATCGTGATGGCCTAGTCATGATACCAGTCTCCCTAAACTTTTCTCTGAGAGAAATCCGAGAACCTAAACGGTACACAAAACGAATCGCTCGTTTTTGCAACACAAATATGGTTTGTATATCTGCCGTTTTACCCCACATGTGAATCCCGTACGACATTATACTATGGATGTAACTAAAGTAAACTAGTCTAGCAGTAGCAATATCAGTAAGTTCACGTATTCTACGGACTGCGTATGCAGCAGAGCTCAATCTACTGGCCAAGGAAGATATATATAGATACCATTGGAGTTTCTGTCTAAGGTCACTCCCAAAAAGACAGCTTTATTAACAAGGTCTGACTTTTCTCCATTTATTTCTATGATTGGGCTAGTCGATTTTACATTAGGTAATTCAAATTTAACACACTTTGTCTTCTTGGCATTGAGCAATAAATTGTTAATATTAAACCAATAAACTACCTTTGAAAGGGTATCATTAATATTGTCATAGTTAACGTCATGTCTGTCTGTA